AAAACGAACGACCAAAGTCGATTGATCAGAGTAGGCCGTTACGACCACCCGACTAGGTGAACCATGGGCTAATGTCAGAGGTGGATGCGTGCCCCCCTCCCCTAATTTTCGACAGTGCCCTTTTTTACTGTTGACAGTGCCTTTTCTCAGACCCAAATATGTCCGTTCCCAACCCGTAGCAGGGATCCCAAATTACTCAAACCATCGATTCAAACACACCAGTCTGGTCTAATTAATGCTTCTATTTTCAAACGAATTCTTGTTGTTTAGCTGACGGTGCCCTAATCCTATAGAGTGACTATAGACAGATATCTTGTGGAATCGGCGGCGTATACATTCTTGTCCATCACCGACGCGCATTAGTGCAACTAGATGTAGCATTGTTTCATGTGTGGACAGTACAAAGTACAAGTCTTTTTTCCCATCATAATGCCTCGCTCGCCTTGACAATGTTCGAGTCGCATGTTCAACTGGCTTTTTTGCTCGATTTTAAGGCTCTTTTTCAACGATTTCCGATCGTTTACTTAGACGAAAATATCAGCCAAATAGCTCTTGGAATGGCTACAGATGCAAGAAAATGACGGTTAATTTTCTTGGTGGACACACGATCCCTATAGTTATATTTTACGATACGCAGGATGCACGAAAGGTATATTATGTTTAATCCCTACACCCAAGTGGAAGCGAGGTACGAAAGGTATATTCCGTTTAATACCTACACCCAAGGGGGAGGGGGAATATGAAAGGCGATATGAAAATGTACATTCTAACAATAAATATAAAACACATAACTGTACAACAGTCGATATAATAAATTAGTTATTTGGAATAAATCTGAGAATCATTACAGTCTAGAAACTGTACACTGCAGTAGCCACTACGGTCCATTCACTTGATTTGATAGGTTTATTGTTTATTGTCTGTTTGTCTTGTCAGTAGGTTTGTCTGGTGGGGTTTGATTGTGTGTAGTGCACTCCTCCTGTACATACTATTATAAAGACACATGCTGGTAATATGGTGACTAAAACCTGGTCATTTGATGGTGATAGAGACGGCTTTCCTTGCCAGAGAAGATATTGAAATGGGAGATAATTGCAATTACTTTACCAGAAGGAAGAGTGTTAAATACTACAGTTATTGAAGGATATTGTCGAGGTTTTAAGAATGTTTAACGATAGTCATTATCGAACACGGGACCTCCAAGTTAACAAGTCAATATACAGGTTATTTAAGGATATTGTCGAGGTGGTTCAAAGGTTAACGAATCGACGTCTTACTCACTGAACCACCGTCTCTCCACAGGTTATTGAAGGATATTGTCGAAGTTTAAAGAATGTTTAACGATAGTCACTATACAACCGTCCATATTAATATCAAGAACAGTTTTTATTCACCTTTGAAGTGACTTTGTTTGTATTATTTCTAACTTATTGACCGCGAAATAAGCAGAGGTTGTCAATGTTAATATGGCTTGACAAGAGGTTAACTCTGTTCACAAATGAAATCTTTATCAAATCAGTTTGAATGGGATAGACATTTCTTACAAAGGTACTTGTTGTAAGAATCTATCACACTAGTCCCAATAGGCGCCATATATATATATACAAAATGAGAGTGCTGAATAAGGCTCGAAAGGCTTTTTACTTTCCTAGTGACGATCTATAGATTAGATTAGTAATGTATGGCGAGAGTGGGGTGGGGGGCTGATGCGTACGCTTTGTCAGTGAGTCAAGTGGTGTAGCTTCTATTCCCAGCGTGTACAGGGCCTCTGGCATCCTTCCACTGTTAAAGACCCCTACTAGCAAGCGAATCATTGAATTAAAATTAAACCATACGTTAGTCCCGAAATAACCTAGTTTGTGTGGAGTGGATGTTAATCTCTCTCTCCGTACATTCCCTTGTTTTTAATCATTCTATATTTAATAAAAACATGGTAATGCACGGACTTTTTCTAATTGTTGGGGTTTTTTTTTGGGGGGGGGGGGGTTGTTTCCTCTTATATAGTGACAGTCAATTATATTTTTGAATTGTCGGATATCCTCTCGGAGCCTCACATAACACTTTTTGGTCCTCGAAGGAATTATTAGTGAGCAGAAATTCGACCGTATGTGGTATCACCCGTCACTTCAGTTAGTTTATATAGAAGAATAGGTAACTCGTGTTTCCTTTTTCGTTTGTCACTTCCCTTTCTTGAAAGCTCCATAACTCATCTACCGTAGCAATGACCTCTGTGTTAAAATTATATTTGGAACGTGCTATCACATGTGATAATGGCTGACACCAATATTGTCCTGTAACAAATGGTGTTTAAAACGAGACAGACTTAATTCTACCCATAAACAAAATATGTATACGCGTGAATAAAATTAAAATTAAATATCAAAAACTCTATATAAATGTAAAATGGAAAAGATGGTGCAACAACGTGGGTCTTCTTCGGGTCCACCTGTTTCCAACCAATGCTAAAGCCCCTTACGCTAAATGTCTTTTGATAGCAATTTAATTAGAATCCCATCACAGGAAGTGAAAAACATGGATTTTGTCCAGTTAAACATACATTATGCAAGAGCTAAATCTGATTATTGCAAGTCTTTATTTAGGCTTCAGATGTCATCGAAATTATAAATTAGATCTTTATTTACACAACAAGCACAAAATCAACTCTGTAGACCCACGGATGGCTTGGATTCGGCTTGGATTTAAACAGGATTTCGTTGATTGATTAAATTTTTAAATGGCGTCGTAAGCGGAGATTAACCGTTAGGTTGACGTCATACTCCCGGAAATAATTTTAGATCGAGGCTAAATGATAGATTGTACGAAGCGAGACCGCTGTTGAGCGAGGCCGCATGTCAGTCAATTTGATTGAAAGTTCGATATACATGTATACGGCCTTGATATTATGGTTAGTTGTTGTTAAAATGAGAGTTTGGATGTCGGTATTATACGCTCTTTTGTCACTTGCGTTTACAGAAAAATTGATAAACATCGCAGCTAACATCACCCCAGTTGAATTGCAGTTCGGGAGTTACGCAGGCCTACCAGTTACAGTACAAGAGTACACGCAGGCTAACAAGAAGTCGGCTATAATTATGCCTCATTAATTTGGGTCATTCTTTTCTATATATTAAAAGTCTTATTTTTAATTTGTAGTAAAAATAAATGTGATACGAATTGAATTGCAACCCCGTCTAAAACCACAGCCTCTGAAAACGTTACTTGATAATCGAGATTATGTAGGTGGAGTTAACGCCTGTCAATCAAACGATCGTCTATTCACGGAGACGGTGAAGAGAGAATTGGCTCCCATTTCTAGTCAAAAATTACAATAGTGATAACTTTGTTCAGAATAAAGTAATTTGACTGACATTTTCAATATATTCTTCTTTCATCATCTATTTTTGAACTGTTATAGCCAGAATGGCCAACTCTCTATTAAAATCTCCCATAATGTATCTTTAATTTAACCTAAACGGGACTTTCACACGACTAACTGACGCCGGCCGACTCTAGGGTAAGATATGTTTGTACACGTATTTGATAAATACCTTTAGGTCTACGTATGTTGTTGAATGTGTAAAAGTGAAACGTTTTGATCTCTATGATTGCAGTATTTCCAATAAATGAGAGAGAGTGAGAAATGGGGTTTAACGTCCACTCGACACAAACTAGGTCATTTCGGGACCAACATATGGTTTAATTTTATTTCAATAATTTGCTTGCGCGTAGGGGTCTTTAGCAGTGGGAGGAACCGGAGGGCCCGGAGAAAACCCACGAGGTTGGACAGGCAACCCTACTCCTTGTCACGTACAACCAGGGATTCGAACCACGACAGTTGACTCAATGGCAGGCCTCGTGATACAGCGCGCGCGTGCTAACCATTCGGCCATCCAACCCCGCTTTCCAATAAATGAACCACGTAATAAATTGTAACTAATGAATAAAGCCAACACATATCTTGCATCGGTAAATTTGGCCGTCGCTGAAACTTACTTAGAACGAAAATTCTTTGTCTCAAATCTCTGATATATCTTTTGTAAACGTGTTATTTTGTACCATTATTGATACTACTGTCTACAATTGTGATGTATTCGATACCATTTATCCATTTTTGTGAAGACAATCCATGAATTAATTTTATTTTATCAAAAACGCACATCTCCAAAAAAACATCGCTGAATTTGTCACAGATTTTCAGGGGATGTAAGTCCTATATAATATAGGAGGCGCTAAAACAAAGTGGCAATGGAAAATGGATACTAAATGATCGTGACAAAACTCGGCTTTGACGGTACTTTTAGTTCATTTAAACAGTATCAAATAGTGTTTCGTTACGTGTGAAAACATGATCAAGGTTTGTCATTTAATAAAACAAAAGATTAATTAACAGATAATCCCGGGTTTATTGTTATTTTCATAGTTCGTTTTACCTGATCGGTAATTACATGATAATTAACTATTAATCACGGGATTAGCGGAGGTGCTACGAAGTACGACAAGGTGGTATCATTCAACAATGGCCGTTGAATAAGCGCTATTTTGCTAAATTTATTAGTAAAATAGTGACCTTTGGCCGCGTTAGAGGAGTGACCGTTGATTAAAGAGATGGAACAATAGAATTTCTACGGGGGGGGGGGGAATTTCTCGTAACTGCTTACAAGGAGAATAGGAGTCTACTGTATATGTTTTATTGAATTGTTATATAAAGCGAAAACAGATTAACACACCGCGTGGGATATTTCTTTCAAATATTGTGAAAGGGTTGCCATAAAATTGGAGTTATATTTGTGTTTTTAAACATTGAGAATTCCTATATCATTAGAATAACAAAAAAAACTAACTCCAAGTAGACTTATATTCCTATAAAAACTGTAAAGTTATCTTTGTCACCTGTCTTATATACAGCTCATTTATTAACGATATTGTTGATTGTACGTATATTTATATTTCACCCATGATATGTCTCATTTGTACATTAGATATTTGCTTGAAAACGACTTGTGAAATCTTGTTGAAACGTTGCAGTACAATAAACCTAGTGATTGTATCCACAATAAATGTTCTAGTATTATAAATATTAACTAATACAGTACAAGGTATGTTTCTATTGCTGTGTGTACAGTGGGTCGGTAAATAACTATTAACTTATACAGTGTAAGGTATGTGTTTATTGTTGGTGTGTGTAATATTAACTGACACAGTGTAATGTATATGTGTCTATTACGGTGGCTGATAAGGGACATGAAAAATAATATAATTTTTTTTTTTTAATTTTAATTTTCACCCAAGTCAATTTTAATATAATTTGTTTTTTGTAATTTTCACCCAAGTCAATTTTAATATAATTTGTTTTTTTGTAATTTTCACCCAAGTCAATTTTAATATAATTTGTTTTTTTATAATTTTCACCCAAGTCAATTTTAATTTCCACCCAAGTCAATTTTAATATAATTTGTTTTTTATAATTTTCACCCAAGTCAATTTTAATATAATTTGTTTTTTATAATTTTCACCCAAGTCAAATTTAATATAATTTGATTTTTATAATTTTCACCCAAGAATTTCCACCCAGCGCGTGACGTCATCTCAATTAGCCTCGTTTCCAAAACACTAATGACCTAGTTTGTGTCGAGTGGACGTTAAACTCTCTCTCTCTCTCTCTCTCTCTCAAAGTTTGCGTACGAGGGGCAACCATTTTGTCCGGCAGTTTCGATCAGATTTTCAGAAAATTCGAACCCAATCATCATTTGGGCGTAACGGTGATATATTCAAACGTTTTTTTTTTAAATCAGATACAAATTGTGACCTCTAGAGGGACCACAAGCTAAAAACGAGATTTTTCGTACAATCAAGGGTCGTAATTCAGAAAGTTAAGATCCGATAAGCGCGAATATCGAAAGAAACCAGATGATAATTGTGACCTCTGGAGTGTCCACACGCTAAAAAAAAGTGACTTTTCGTACAATCAGGGGCCATAATTCATGAAGTTTCAATCCGATACATGCCAATATCGAAAGGAACCTAGATCTTTTAGGAATAAACCTATATAAAAAACAAATTATATCAAAATTGACTTGGGTGAAAATTAAAATTGACTTGGGTGAAAATTATAAAAAACAAATTATATTATTTTTCATGTCCCTTATCAGCCACCGTAGCCTATGGCTGTGTGTGCATGGGACCGGTGACTTTTGGCACTGTCTATTAACCGTGTAAAGAGGTATCATTTAGGTGTACTTCATAAAGTTGGTATTTTGTTTCAGAATCTACAGTATTGTGGTTACATATTTTATACGTCTGTTGTTTATTGTATTATTAGTTATACCGATTGACATAAGAATAAACTATAGCCTTATGTACTCGTTGCCTTATGTCCATTCTTTCTTTCTTTCTTTCTTTCCTTTTTCTTTCTTCCATTCATGCTTTTCTTCATTCATTTCAGATCCCGAGTACGAGGTTAATCAAGAATAGTGGTTACTTATTTTATACACAAACATCTGACCAACTACGGCATTATGTTCCCAGATAGTAAACTGTTACACAAAACACGTGCTTTTCTACTGGGATCTGGACTACTCATATGTTTACCATTTCTTCACATAGGTTAGTATGTATTCCAATAAATCCCAATCAGTCCCAAACATCTTCTTTATTTATCTAGTTTAAAAAATATTTTATTCAATAAACTGAATTGGATTGAGAGAGAGAGAGAGAGAGAGAGAGAGAAATGGGGTTTAACGTCCACTCGACACAAACTAGGTCATTTCGGGACTAACATATGGTTTAATTTTATTTCAATAATTCGCTTGCGCATAGGGGTCTTTAGCAGTGGGAGGAAACCGGAGGACCCGGAGAAAACCCACGAGGTGAATTGGATTGAACAACAGGCAAAGGCCTATATAAGTTCTCTCCAAACATATAAAATAGTTAAATCTTATGTTTACAATACAATGGTGACATATGTACAGGCAGTGAGTTGCAAGCATATATACATTTTTGGAGTGTAATTTTAAGTTTTATATGTTAAAGTGTTAAAATCTCTTGCTGTCTTTTATGTATTTTTGCACTATTTCAAATACGTTAGAATTGGTATTATCTGAACGAGAGGGGTTACCATATAGGATCAGGTCAATTGTAATATTTTGATTAAGGTGGTGTAGATTATTTTTTAGAATTTTGCTTTGGGCAGAGTAGGACATATGAAAAAATAATGGTAATTATCTTCGTCTTCAGAATTACACCTAGGGCACACTTTTGTTTCACTTATAAAATGGTAGAATAAGTGATTATTTAAGTTACTAGCTTTATTTCTTAATTGGCAATGGATAATATTCTCTTTCCTATTTCCAGTATTATAATATAGTAGTGGTCTAATTAAAGGGTACACACGTGAAAGGCCCAATTTGAATGTACTTAACGTTTGTGAGGTTTTAATATTTTCAGGTAGGTTGTTCCAAAGTTTAATTGTGCAGGGAAAGAAACTATTAGAATATGAACTCGTTTTACATAATGGTAGATTGAGGTTCAGATTTTCGTTTCGAAGGTTATAATTTGATACTGACGGTTCAAATTTTTTAAGACCTCAGATAAATAAGTGGGACTTAGGTTATTCTTTATTTTTATAAGTAAATGAATTTGTGTTTTATTCTGCGATTAGAGAATGATTCCCAACCAAGCTCTTTGTATAAATTGTTTTTAGAGGAATTTCTTCTAGTGCCAGTTATTATTCTACCTGCTTTAGTTTGAACACTTTCTAATAGATCAGAATCCTTCTTTGAACAGTTATCCCATACAATGTCGGCATATTCTAAAATCGGGCGAATAAAAGCAAGATATATTTTGTTAAGTGAAATTCTGTTAATTTACCTAATATTTTATTAACTCCATATTGTTTTAATTTAGACAATATGCCAAACTTTGTCAAACGCTTTTGATACATCACAAAATATAAATCGAATTTGCTTTCCTTTATCAAGATTACTTATTATAACATCATAAATTTCTAAAGGTTGATTTATTGTAGAATCGTTAGGTTGAAAACCAGACTGGTACTTATATAACAGGTTATATTCTTTTATAAAATTATAAAGATTTTTTAATAAGATTTTCTCTAGTATTTTACGCAATGAACATGTTAATGAAATTGGTCTATAGTTGTCAGGGAACTGCGGATCACCCTTTCCTTTATACGCTGCAATGATATGTGAAGTCTTCCAGATATAAGGTAATAATTGGAGTTCTAATGAAAGATTAAAAAGTTCAGTGAGAGGGCTTGTGATTGATGGAGTTATCTTTTTCAATACAGCTGGACTAATATTATCGGGACCAGAAGGCTTTGAACAGTTAAGAATTAGTAACTGGTCTTTCACTTCTTGCTCACTTACAATAAAATTTTGTAGTTCGTTGTTACTGCGAGAAGCAAAGTATGGAAGGTCAGGTACATCATTTAATTTTGAAATCGAAGCAAAATAAGAGTTTAGGATATTTGCCATATCAAGTGTGTGTGTGTGTAAACGCAGTTTTCAAATAATAATGGGGAAGTGGGTACCTTTACATTATCATAATTTGTAATAGATTTAACTATCTTCCACCATTGATTTGGAGGCAAGTTTTTATTATTTATTTGTTCTAATTTGTCTTTAAAACCATTTTTAGCTTCCCTAATTAATGTTATTACTTCATTTCTTATTTTTCTAAATAATAGCCAATGATTTCGACTATTTGGGGGTTTTTTTGGCACTTTTGTTTGCTCTATTTCGTTTTCGAATTTTTATACGTATGGCGTTATTCATGGCGTTATTCATCTATCTTATTTATTTATCTATCTTGCAAATGTAATCAAGGCAAACTAATCACAAAGCTATCCAAAAGCTATTGTAGTAGCAATGCAAAAGCTTGCTAGAGACGCCACTGATACTATTTTTATCAATGTAAAAAACACTGACCGTAAAATGTGTCGTTTTTGTTCCGCGACTTCGGGAAGTTGTATAAACACCAACATCTCAATGACTTTGTGTTTTTCGTGTAGAGACGAAAACAGAGTTTGTGTCGAGCGTGGTTTGGGCATTCAGAAACGTATTTACGAGTTATTTCTTATATTTTGAAAAAATAAAATTATTAGGAAAAGGCAAAAACAGCGCTCGTCACTGAAAGTAAACGTATTTTCTCATAGAAAGGAGATAAATTATAGAGCCCAAATTTAAAAATTCCAATAAATAGTTAATGGTTGGACGGATGTTTCCTCAACACTTGATATCTATATCTTCAATGGTTGCCGAGAAATTGTCTTTGCAAATTTAAAAAAAGTGTATACTGACATCGATCAATTTTAGGTCATAAAAGTGCAATAACATTCTTATTTCTTAATCGATTTTGAATTTTATTTTTTTTATTTTTCTGAGCGGGGGTGGGGGGGGGCTTAAATGGGAGAGGGCATTGAAAACTAGCAACTATTCAATTTTAGTCAGATTCAAAAATTTAAAACAGCTTTTGCATTGCTAATTGTAATAACGGGTGGAGTGGGGAATGGTTATATTATTTATTCTGTGTAGAATAAATCTCGAGACTGAGGTTATGCTCGGGAAAGAAAGACTGAAGAAAATAACCCGAGAAAAAAAAACCGAGGCCGGTAGGCCGAGGTTTTTCTGTCGAGGGTTTTTTCTGAAGTTTTTCTTCCCCAGCATAACCGAAGTCGAGGACTTTATCTTGCTTATAAACCGCCTATGTTTAGAATTACATGTACGCAAGATGAGAATATCCCAGAATTCCCGCAAGAAAAACCTTATATCATGTTTTCTTATGAAAAAAAACCTACCCTGTAAGAATAACCCGTTACAGGTTTAAAGAAAAACTTTCAGAAGAATAACCCCAAACATATCCAAAACAGCCCCCCGACTTTCAGACCGCAAGTTATTCCGGACATAGAATATACCCCAAAGATCAAAGAGATTTACCGTTACAGGTTTATATGCTTGTGTAAATAACCCATGCGTTATAATCCATAAGCCTCCGTTATATAACGACCGGTCCTTGACATTCAAACCCTACCCTTTATTCGTAGTGTCCACCAAACTGTGGATCGGAGGGTTGGATGGCCGAATGGTTAGCACGTGCGAGCTGTATCATCAATGGTTTCGATTTACCGGTTGTACGTGACAAGGCGTAAAGTCGCCTGTCCAACCTTGTGGGTTTTCTCCGGGTCCTCCGGTTTCCTCCCACTGCGAATTATGAAAATAAAATTGAACCATATGTTAGTCCTGAAATGACCTAGTTTGTGTCGAGTGGACGTTAAACCCATTTCTCTCTATCTCCACCAAACTGTAGGCCCGACGGAATTGTGGAGCGGGCTCTCAGCGTACATGGGGTCCCGGGAAAATTAATCTAAGGAAATGGTTGTGGGGTGGACCAGAAGCCCAAAGATTTGGTTATTACAAAATATGCGTTGTCTGACATTTTTTTACTCCTATAAGCTAATGTCAGTAAAATCGCTTACATTTAATTCTTCTACATTTTTTATAGGTTTTGTTCATAAAATGATTTGGGTACCATATAAGACACCTGTTAATAGAGATAGCTGCACATGTTCCTGTTTTGATACGGTGATGAGAGGTAAGGGACATAACTCTAACTTTTGATTAGGAAGCAAGCCACCAAAAGTTTAATTTTATTCTTCTCACATTGGTCGCCCCTACTCTATACATAATCTACCACAGATGTAGGAACCTTGGGGTTGAATACTCCGAAGTTTGTACGAGTTTGACCATTGGAATTCCAAGATGCACAAAATATAAAGTAGCGTACGAGTAAACACATTAATATATTTGGAGTAAATATCACCGTAACCACCTCTTATTCTTATCTCCACGCCTCTAATTAACACGAATATTAACAAAAACCTCACAGAGAAAGGTCTTATTACATTACATTACATTACATTACATTAAATATCGAATTTTGTATTTGTAATATAAGTTTTATGTTCCATTATTATTACAGGAAGCTATGAAAAACCAGGAAACTCAAGTTACAAACATTTATATTTCAATGCTACAAAGGAGACGTTCAAAATATGGATCCTCACAGTGCTCTTCGTGTTAATGACGTACGAAAGTATAAAATACTTATATAAACTATTTAGAAAGGGAGATGTAAGAATGACGATGTTTGTATTATACCTGGCCAATATTTATCCAAATTATTACAGCTGGTGGGATTTTCTGAATTATTATAACGAAAGTTTTTATCTATATTTTTACAACGATTTCTATTTTATGTTGACGGAAATCCTCGTCACGGTTCTGGTATTGAATCTGTGTGACACAAAGAATCAAATAGCTTCGTGGAAAATTCTATTAATTATTACTATTAATAGTATGCACATAGTCGTTAGCTGTTCAAATCAGTTTATTGAGCAAGTCATTCTTAAAACTGGGAAGAGTTTCCAGAATGCCAGGAATATTGGTCTGACTATACCAGATGTACTACACGTGGTTTTGTGTATATATATACTTTATAACTACGCTAAACTGAATAGAGTTAGCTTTAAGACGATGTTTACTGGAAGAGAACTTATTTTATGTGGTGTATATGTGATAGGTACAATAGTTATGTACTGCCTTTAACAGGCTTTGTATATTTTTTTTCATAATAATGGAAAATATGGTTTCCACTGAGATGGAAGATATCCATGACATAGTAACTTTTCTACATTTTTATTCTCATGCTCATGTATTGTGTCTTTATGTAAAATAAATAAACAATGATATATACGCCATTTTCAACATGCACATTACCATACTGTTTCACAGGGGGGGGGGGGGGTCACGATGGCTAAGTGGGTAAGACGCTGGCTCGCTAGCCTGGAGGTTGGGTTGTTCATCCAGATTTTCCGGCGTGGTTCCCTCTTGTCAGTGATGCTGGACGGAGGGCCTGACAAGGACAGCTGTCTAGTCGTTCGGATGGGACGAAAACCCGAGGTCCCGTGTACACATTGGCGTACACGTTAAAGATCCCCTGACAGTTGGTATTATATATAAAAATGTAGGCCGTAGTGCCGCTGTCCGGGAAAAATTTCCCTTATAGCACACTGTATGGCGTATGTCCATCTTCATTAGCCCAGTTTGGAGCAGAACAGTAGGACGTTAAACCCAATTTCATTTCATTTCATTTATTTCACAGAGGTAATATGAAAGCCTACTTCTAACTCTGTATAAGATGACTGACCTTTTAAAGTTCAACCGCCTTCTACATGTGACGTCACATGGCGTTGATCATTGGCTCGATGACGCGTACACTGTTTACATAAGGAGTAACGTAAACTGGTCCGGACAGAATGATGCCCTTTACTCCTGTTTTTTACCCATTTAAACTAAACATGACATGCTTTTTATCCAGATATACTTCAAACACCCTTATTTATTTTTCTACTACTTCAAAAACATGTTCTAGAACAGTTATTCTCAACCAGTGTGTCGCGAGATCTTCCTAAGTGTGCCGCGAAATGTTGAACGGCACACTAAGAAAATGCGAAAAACCACGTGATCCTATTTGAGTATTTACTGGGGTCTGCTGATAAATTTATAGCTGTGTTTTTCTTTATTTAGTTTGAGCCATTCTATGTGTCTATGACTTGTCTCTGTCTACTCTACGGTTGTATTCCGTCTGACTTACCATGTTTTTATTTTGCAAAATTCAAATATTTTTTCCATATATATTTAGCTAGATGTGCCGCTATTCGTTGGCAAAAAAAGGTTGAGAACCACTGTTCTAGAATATAATTTGCAGAAGGAAAAAAGTTAATATTACGAGCTAATTAACCAGCACGACGTCATCCTTCTCAGTAACTGTAGCGGCCTAGTTATAATATTCACTGCTAATCAGGTCGATTCTATATGCGTTATATTTAAATATGTACGTTACATGTGGGTTATATATGGTGGCTGTTAGCGGCCATCTAAATGGTCGACTTGTGAAGAAATCGACAAGCCGACAAGTCGACGAAATCAACCCGCCGACACGACATAATGAAGGCGACGACCGTGTCGGCGGGTTGATTTTGTCGACTTGTCGCCTTCGACTTATTCACAACCCAACAAGGCGACAAGTCGACAAGTCGCTAACAGCCACGATAGTTTTATGTTTTATACTTTATATAAGCATATTACATGTAGATTCTATATGAGAGAGAGAGAGAGAGAGAGAGAGAGAGAGAAATAAATGGGGTTTAACGTCCAATCGACAAAAACTAGGTCATTTCGGGACTAACACATGATGCAATTTTATTTCAATAATTCGCTTGCGCGTAGGGGTCTTGCTAACCATTCGGCCATCCAACCCAGCTCACGATTCTGGTATCTTTAACACATTTCTGTCTTCTTTTGAATAAAAGAAAAAATAAATAATCTAAACTATTGATATTTTTTTTTTCCATTTTATATATCTTTATCAAAATCCAGTGAAAAAAAACAATATCCCATAAGTATTTCATGCGAAATCCGTAAAGGCCGCCATGAAGTCACGTGACTACATGATTATGCAAATTTCCAAAATTCTATATTTTTTCTCTTATCCCATCCCCATGCCCATCCTAACAGACAAAAAGAATTTACCGAAATTATGACCTAGTTTGTGTCGTGTGGACGTTAAAACCCATTAAGACCTGGCTGGCTTGGAAAGTCAGAGCAAATCCAAACCGTCCTGATTTCTCTACCAGCCCTGCTGCGAAGTCCGCGCGCCCAGCACACGCGACACATTTTGTCCTTTCTGTACCCTGTGTTGCCAGCCGTTGCCCGTCTTTTCCGTGGAAAGTGCCTCCCTGTAAGCCTCTGTACTGTGTCTGTCATTAAAACGTCTTTGTTCAGTTTCGGACTGGAACTTATAAGTATAGACTGGAGGTCCTTGAGGTCCGCTGGGAAATCTTTGGTAGACGGCGTAAACTTCCGATGAAGTTTATACGAACATAATGCCCATGTCATGAACAATCTCAAAGCCACCGACGAATAGAATTTGTTTTGGCATATAACTGTCATCATTCTGATCAACGTTCCAAACTATCCTGGGGTTCTGAGCTCTGTCAGGTCCAACCGTCTGATCCCTAACAGGGTTACCTCTGTCAACCCCTCGACCACCACGAACACGGGCACCTTGGCCACAAGTAAGGCCACCGTGAACACGTGGACCACGTCTACCACTACCAAGACCATAATCGTCATTCAAGATAGGCCTACAAGGAACGGGCCACCGCGACCACGAGCAATGCCACCACGAACACGCGGATCGCGTGCGGCTTGCACTACCTCGTTTTCACCATCACCCGTTCCCATATAATTATCACTATAGTAAGTCAATAGATCTACACGTTCGGGACTCGGGAATTGCCTACGTCCTTTACGATCCAGCAGCCCAGCATCATTATCAACATCAGAATTATCGTCAGAATTTACTGTAGATAAGAAAAGCGCCTATTCCCAAACTCATTGACGCGAAGAAAAACAACGACTCAATGAGAGCTTATCTGAAATATAACAAACTGATTATTGGTCACGAAGTGTTCACATTCGACATTGAAACCAACGAAATCATTACACTGGATCAAAGTAATAAATAGCGAACAACAAGAGAATGCAAATAAAATATGTCAAAACTTAAATTCATTTATTAAAATTATCACTTGGAATGTGAACGGTCTAAAATCAAAATTGTCGGACCAAGAATTCATCCTATATCTAAAGCGTTTCAATGTCATTTGTCTGATAGAGTCTTGGTGTGGAAAAGATATTGATTCGCACAGTTATTTTCCTGAATACGAATATGTTTCTTGTGTACGCGGTAATGGTAAGGCGCGGGGTGGTATCGAAGTTCTGTATCACAAAAGCCTATCTATCAGTATCGACAGAATTAAACATTCATTCATTTTTAAAACTTTGTGTTGTGTACATCGCCCCAGAAGGTTCAAATATTCATGGAAATCAATGTGGTTTTGAAAAATTCAAAGAAAATTTGTTGGAAATTATTTCTGAGTGCCCGGAAACAAATTTAATAATAACGAGGGATTTCAATGCCAGAAAGGGGGATAATTATGACTATATCTTAATCGGGAATTTTCCCAAATCAAAGTTCAACTTTTCAGTCATGTTGGTTTCGTTGGTTTTCGTCAATTTAAAAAAGTATTATTAATCCGAAAAACAAATTAAAACCCAATCGACGTTAATTCTGAGTACGAGGGTTTTACGGCTTTATTACTTAGCTCAAACCTAAAAAGTCAAAAATTTAAAGGGACTATCCCGATTAGAATAGAGTCTCAAAAATTAAAGTCAGAGTATGTATAAAATTTAAGCACCAAAATATATAGGAATGGTGTATTAAGCTTTTTAAAATTTAGGGTCAATTTTTTCGTTGGGTGACCTGATAATCGATTGCCGTTTCTTGAGACGTCTATACAGTGAACGTCCCATGTGCTGTACTTGATAACGGACGGTAAATATCATCTACACATTATTTTTTTTTTAAAAAGAGGCCTGGTTTTATCCAGACACCGTATAATACTGCTCGTGACACCGGTCTCCATTTCCAGATGAAGACTGATGAGTTTAAATTGTTTGAAAACGTATCACAAATATTGAGTTACTTGCTCGGTCCGTATAGGTAGAGGGTTTTAAGGCATTTTAACAAAACAATAAGCAGTTTTATTCTGAAAAAAATTATCGGGATTGGCCCTTTAACTTTATCTGCAAATACTTTCAATTTCCAAATTATTTCCTTAAAAGTCGTCTGTCTTGGTTGTTTACTTCTTATGAGTATAGGGAAGTTTGTAGATCATTTCGAAGTCCCCCTCCCCCACGAATTTTTTTTTAAAACAAAACCCTTGGAGAATACAAATAAATCGATTTTGATTGTTTTCACTGGTAAAATAAATACTTTCCTAAAAACAAAAACTTAACTGGATTTATTTTGTCACTTGTGTTAAATAAACCACCCCTTACTGAGCTACCAGCAGGCAGTAAATTACCTATATTTTTATATATCTTTATAAGTTATATTCTTAGCTTAACAGACGGCTAACTATTTTTTAAATATTGCCATTGTAATTTTATAATCATAATTTCTATATCCGCAGTGAATTGAAATGGTTAATTCAATCGATGAACTTCCCACCAACTGAGCTTGGGGAACAGGGATTTACGGGAAATTCCCACACTACACACTATCCGCGAAAGATAAATGCTCGTAGCGCCAATTTTGTAAAAATATACTTTATATACAGTATAATATCGCAGACACACCTACCACTAGCCTTCGGTGCCCAGAGAAGGCCGACAATTAAGCAACACAGAAGGAGGCAGACCACCATTAAATTTCTCCATCTCGGTACCCTTCGTCTATTTATAGCAATTGTCTCTTTTCTCCCCCTTTGCATGCCCATTTTGGTCAAGAATGGACGAAGAGGGGTTGAATCAACATTTTCTGACAGGTTTTGGGAAATAATCATGATTTTGAACCGGAAGGATAACGGGGTTATCAGGTTGGCTACGGTGATATGTATGGCAACTAGTTACATGTTTTTAGTATGCTTCTTCAAGTTTGTGTATCTCAAAATTCTGGTGGTCAACCTCATACAAATATTAGTGCAAAGGCATGACCATTTGTTCGCTTAATTTTTGTTCTCCCCTCTTCCTCCTTTATTTTTTCTTGACTTTTTGGTCTAGAATTTGAGAAAAGTATCAAATTTGTAATTCCATAGCAGTTTTTGGTAATACTGTGGATATTACATCGGAGGGATAGGGGGTGTAAATTGTCTTTCTGCAGAGCAATCATTGTGTCGGAAGGGAGATTTTCACCCCTGTCAACATCAAATCGCCGTAGCAAAAAATCTAAACAGCCAACCCCCTACAAAATTATGATGAGAAGATTCCCAAATGTGGTCCCCATTTTGCCTATAAAGATTGGAACAAACGGAATGTAGAGCAAAAAGCTACAGCCTGTGATGTTAGTCATTTAACATTGAATTCAATGGGCCAATAATTGCTAGTCTGAGTCCTGATATACATGGGCTAATTGCTAGTCTGAGTCCTGATATACATGGGCTAATTGCTAGTCTGAGTCCTGATATACGCGAAATATAATTAATAAACAATACAGTAAGACAGTAATCTACATCCGATTTTTTTTTTCTAAACAAGGTTTTATTTCAATTTTCATGAAAAGGGATCAGGGAACAGGCATAGCCTATATTACCCCTCTCCTCCTACAAAGAATATAAACATATAATAAAATAATGGTGAATACCATATAAATTAGATAAGTTATATACACACTATTTATAACAAATGAAAAAAGAGGAAGTGCTGAATTTAAGATTGTTCTATAAGTAAATCAAATATGGAAGCGTCTGGAATAACTAGCCACCACACAAATTTTAAACACATACAATATACGAGTAAGCTAATTCAATACACATGTGTATACATATATATTAACATACAGTCAACAAAAAGGCGGGAGATCATATCATGCATCCGGCTATATACCTCAAATTCAGCACGTGCAGATCGTGCCCTCAAACCAATAAACGTCATAAACGGGACAGTCCAGTTTAGAACCATGGAGACTGCAGACACGTTTACAAAAATATATTCAAAAAATTACAAATCTGACTGATATGACTGCAGGGACAAAGAGACAGATTTTCAAAAGCTGGTCGAAATAATAATATTGCAGAATTTGGTGCTATAAATAAGCGAGCTGTATTGAAGCGGATTACATTTTATTTCTCTTTGACCATCCTAGGTCTACTAGGTGAAGGCCACTGTTAGCTACCCGAACTACAAGTATTTTATCTACACCAAATTTCCCGTCACTTCCAATTCACACACATTTAAACGTACAGAATCTTTAGTTATTCGGACGTACCGTCCGATAGTGACGTTATCACATTCAAATGTTCGAGAAGTCCTGCCGAATATTCCTGCTATAAATTTACAAATGATGGGCGTGGTTGTTGTAGTAGTTGGATCAGACTCATAAACCAATATACTTGTATCAGCCATTCTTCCAGCTGTAAAAACAGTTAAAGGAGAAGACCCGTGAGCGTGTTGATTCGAACCAACTGCGTCACTTCCGGATTTGCTAAAAATTAATTACTCGCTTACAAAAAGTCTTTTACTTGTGTTACCGAGGGGATTATTTATCAATATATATACTCAGCCAAATTAAAAACTTGACACTGATGAATTTCAACAAAAAATTTTTTCTGGTAAGTCAAATAAATTTTAAAGTGTTTCTAACGATAGTAAGTAGTAAGAAGCCTTTAATTTCATAAAATTGTAAAGCCACGTAGATCACGTGACTTTTGAGCATATAAAGATGAAAAACCTGAAAAACACTTGCAAACACAAACTCGTGAGGTCAATCGATGCAAGTTTGCTTAAACTGAACACGCACACGTAATTGAACTGGAAAAACAAATTAAAATTGTTATTTTCATCTTTGTTAGAAAATGCCGCGCCTTTCAAATGTAGAACGTCTACGTGCTATAGGTAGGCTCTATGCTGGTCAGTCTGTGGTCACTGTTGCAAGAGCCTTTAATTGTTCACGCCAGACAATAATTAATCCTAGAATGAGAGTGCTTCAAACTGGAACTATTGCCGACCGCCCAAGGGCGGGAGCGCCACGTGTGACGTCACTCCAGGAAGATCAAGTAATACGATTACGTCATCTTAGAAACAGATTTGTCACTGCAACCTCCACAAGTAGAGAGATGTTTGGTGGAAGGGTAACTGAAAAACTGTTCGAAATCGCTTGCAGGCTGCTGGTCTTCGAGCTCGGAGGCCCTATAATGGACCAATATTGACACCTCTTCATCGCCGTAACCGACTTGTGTGGGCCACAAGACACATAACATTTACTCAAAGACAGTGGAATTCGGTTGTCTTTATTGACGAATCTCGATTCACTTTGAGATTTGCCGATGGCAGGGTCCGAGTGTACCGCAGACGAGGTGAACGTTACGCTCAAGTATGCGTCAGAGAAGTTGAGCGATTTGGTGGCGGCAGCGTCATGGTTTGGGGTTCTTTTTGTGCACTTGGACGTTCTCCTCTTGTTGTTGTCCAAGGGAACTTAAATGCTGTCCAGTACAGAGATCAGATTTTGCAACCTGTTCTTCTTCCATTTATGCAGAGACATGGGCCTGGACTAACGTTTCAACAAGACAATGCTCGACCCCATACAGCAATTGCTACCCAGAATTTTTTACGAAATGCCGGTGTCCAAGTCCTGGATTGGCCGTCGCTTAGCTCCGACCTTAATCCTATTGAACACATCTGGGACGAACTGGGTCGACGTGTTCGTCAGCAAGTGAATCCACCACTGACGTTGCAGGACCTTCAACATGCTCTTGCTGAGCAGTGGCGACATCTTCCTCGGGTAGTGTTTACTAATGTTCTGAGATCCATGAGAAGACGTTGTGTTGCAGTACGAGACGCTAGGGGAGGCCACAACCGTTACTAAACACTTTATTCCGATTGTTCTCCAAGTCTGTGAATTTCATTTTGGGGGGTACTGTGACATCGCGAACGTTATCCATGTCAAGGATTTTCGGCGAGACCTATTCTTGCTTTCTGTTGATGTCAAGGTCGTCTGTGCACAACATAACACTAAAATAGTTGCCTTAAACCAAATATAAAAAATCTAGTCCCAAAAATCCCGAGTGTCAAGTTTTTAATTTGGCTGAGTATATTTAAGATTTAGGGAAAAATTGTTGAAAATCGTTGGATTTTCCCCTTTAATTCATTGATATTGAACGTCATCAATAGAATATAATATCCCCAAAATATCACCCGTTTTCCTTAGGGACGTCTTTTTGGGGCAAAGTATTTAAATTAGAACAATCAGAATAATAACAAAAAGGTGGTGGGACCGTGGGGTGGGGGGGTCATTTGCCTTCCCATAAATCTGGTCTGCCGTCCTCTGTTTGCCTCCCCCGCCCCAATAATTGAAACAAATTTAAAAAATATTTGTCATATGTTTCGGTAATCAATACCTTCTATGGTGATTAAATCACACATTCCCAGTCCTTCATAGACTCGTATGTTGTAGTCGGAGTGATTTCTTACCAAGCCAACTCTGCTGTAAACCTACTATAAACCGTGAATCATGTGAAAAGTGCCATATACGATCCTCAAAGTTTTTTGGTATAGGTTCAACAGTAACCTTTCGATAAAGGTTTTAGGACCCGGGTCTATTATTAGATTTATTTTAAAGATTAACTTACGTTCCCGTAGATCAGAGCGATTCACTATGGTAACACTGGTGATGTTAAAAGTATGTTTAAGATCAACTTGCAACCATGGAGTATAATCATCGTTTCTAGTATGACTGCAGCTAAATTGATTTATATCACCATTTCTATTCCCATCGACAGCCAGTGATGATGGCAACGGCATATAATGTATGTAGGTTGAGCTCTGCACAGTAGGCTTACCCAAGGCAAGGTTCGGTCCATCTGAAATTATCGACAGTCAAAGTTTGAATGACAGAAGATTTTATCAGATAGAATCCTTAAATCTTATAAAAAAATCTATTTAACTATTTATCTGATTGTCATAATGTCGTATGTGGTAAACGACAAGATGTATTTATAGTGGAAACTTTCCTATATACTCGACTTTATTATATTTTTTATATACCTGAAATAATTTAACAGGTTTGGGGGGGGGGGTTAAAAATCAAAAGAAGGCCAATTTTAGGCGTTAAGGGAAGAGAGAGAGAGAGCTAGGGAGAGAAATGGGGTTTACCGTCCACTCGATACAAACTAGGTCATTTCGGGACTAATATACGGTTCAATTATTTTTCAATAATTCGCTTGCTCGTAGGGGTCTTTAGCACCGGCGGGAAACCGGAGGACCCGTAGAAAACCCACGAGGTTGGACAGGCGCCTCTACTCATTGTCGCGTACAACCGGGGAATTGAAATAAAGCCAGTTGACTCAATGATACACATTATGATACAGCGCGCACGCGTTAACCATTCAGCCATCCAAACCCCCTACAACTGAGTAAAATAATAATACATGTATATATCACCATTACTTTTGTCCACCGATCATGCTGTAAAAAAAACTTTTTCGATTGTGAGAAAGCTGTTTTGTTCAGTGTTGCATGGAAAACTAAAACGGATAAACATTGGTACGAAACGAACGAAATCGAAAGTTTCACGAGATCGATATGTGTATAAAACTAGTGATATAATTTGATAACTTACTTGGAAATCGTTCACACCTGTCCGCATTATACGGGTTCTTGTAAGAGGAATCATCAACTGAATAATAAAATGATATTCACTATAACATACATCTATCTATCTATCTATCTATATATATATATATTTGTGACTGTCGTTTGTCTGTCTGTCTGTCTGTCTGTCTGTTCGGGGTTGGCGGCTACACTAGGTCTGCCCCGATTCTGAAATTTGGCGTATAGGGATAGCTCGGACCGGGGAGTAACATAGGCCAGGTGACATTAGCCTACCACTTCCGGTTTCGGAGTTATGACCCCCGAGCGAAGCCGGGTATCCTGCTAGTATAGTAATAAACTATAACACATACTTATGGAAAAACAGCTAGCTACTTATTTTTTTGGGCGACGTTTCGAAGAGTTATCAAGTTAATACAGTAAAACAAAAATTATGAGGCTAATTTATACAGAATACTATAACAACAATTCATGAAACCACACAGGACAACAAGATCAAAGGAGGTGATATTCTTCAAAGACTAATTAATACATCGCCCAAATAAATCAGTAGCTGTTTTTCCATAAATATGCGTTATAGTTTATTGCTCTATCCAGTTAATAAATGCCTCTCAAAGATTATACATATTATAGTAGTTATAATATATTGATTAACGAAAGCTGTTTGAAATCAGCCATATAATCACTGGTCTTAATATAGGCAAAACAAAACCATTTAACTTAAAGAAAATTTCAACATATTTGACACAATCCTTATATGGCATTTAGTAACTTGTGTTTTATATAATATTTGACATGGTGTTTAATGGCACACCAGCACCAACCGGGACATCTGCATCACAAATTACCATATTGTGGCTAAATCTAGTAGTTACACACAACTTACCATATTATATATGGCTAAATCTGGTAGTTACACACAACTTACCATATTATATATGGCTAAATCTGGTAGTTACACACAACGTACCATATTATATATGGCTAAATCTGGCCAAATCTAGTAGTTACACACAACTTGCCATAGAGCTGAAGGAGTCAATGTATTGTATAATCTTTAATCAAAACTAACAGGGTCTCGTTTATTACCAAATGATACGGGGAATAATAAAAACTATTCTGTCGGGTTGGAATTACATATTTATCTCTAACCACTTCGTGTTTGTGCTGCTAAACGTAAGTATTAGATATAGACTGCTTCGATGTTATTACGCGAAAGGCGAAACATTTTTTGCGTAACAACTGAGTAGTGAGAGGTCTATGTATAGGATATTAACCTACGCGAGGTTGATATGATAGAGAACACGCGGACGAAACCCAAGTTTCCTCTATTATATCAATCCGAGGGAGAGTAGGTTTATATCCGACATATACAACGCCATTTCACAGTTAAATTTAAGGGCTTTTTTTTTATTAAAAGGCATAAATAATGGGATAATTGCTCGATTGTTTCCGCCAGATAGCGAATATAACCGAAGTAATCACGTGCAATTACGTGCATGTTTTTGTTTATACGTCGCCATTTTGGAGTATTGAATTGAAAGCAAAAACAAAATGGATAGTAATACGAAGTCAGACGAAACATCAATCCTTTTTAGCCAACATATTGAGATGGAATAGATGTGAATGCAAATATCGATGGGGATCTATCCAAAGCCTGAAGAAAATTTGGATCAAAAGGCATCCTTTTCCGATAATTCTGACAGTGAACCCTCATTGAAGGTTTTCGGTATGTTCAGAGAAGGATTTGACCGACTGTTTTAAGTGGACTGTACCCATAAATACTTTACAAAGGAACTCTTGGGCGATAAATACTTTCAAGTCTAGGAGTGTGTGGAGAAATAATCGAAATGTGGACGGAAAGAAAATTCTGAAAGATATCTTAGTCATGGAGTATGGATAACCGATTTAAATATGCCGATAAGTACGTCGTCTATTCCAGTCCTGAATGCTACAAACTGTACCATAACAATTTTTAATTGTCAAAAGAATAAAAATTTATTTCTGTGTTCTTTGTATTATTTCGATCAACAAGGTCATCAGCGGTTGATATGAGCCGAATATATCGACCTGAGATGACGTCATTAGCGGTTGGTATGAAATATCAACCTGTCATGACGTCATCAGCGGTTGATATGAACCGAATATATCAACCTATGATGACGTCTTGACAGGTTGATATGAGATAGAACTGCTATGAACATCAAAGAAAAAACTACCACCAGTTGTATATATCAGGCATACCAACAAAGGAGATTAAAACATCTTTTTCTTCAAAATGAATTAGTCGTTTAGTTTTCAGGTTAGCGCGCATGCCAGTGCGGGTTTACTACAAACACACGTCACATTGACCCCTCAACTTGTTTGTTTATTCTTCAACATGCAGTCGACAGATCGAGTCTGATGACGAATTGTATAGAAGCTAGCCAAACTGCCGAAATGTTTTCCCGATTTTTTCCACAATGAAACTGAAATTCCGACATCGATTTGCCCATATTATTCTAATATTTCGGACTATCAACGCCCCAAATTCCACGAAAAACCTTTTTTTATTGAATCTAATAAATCGATTCATTGTGTGTTATTGATGTTTTTGTATGTAATTTTGAAATACGCATGGTGGTTAATATCGCAATACCATATGACCTCTGGTGATGTCACAAGCGGTTTATATCCAGAATAACGATGATGGAGATCAAAGAGATAATTAATTACACCGTGGTTTGTATCTAATATATTACTCACCTTTATGACCTGTTATCTCAACTTCACATAAAGTCATAAACTCTGATTTCTCAATAAAAATCTTAACAAATCGTCCCATAACCCCATCTTGACATTTGATTATAGTAGGTCCCATTGGTAGAAGTCCAGGTATGAAGCCACAACAAACCGGATTAGCTGGGTTAGAATCCATCGTGGGGTCAGAATGGTAAAGTTCGATATTCACATCATGTAAACGTTCAGCTAAAATATATATTATACATTGATTAAATTTTGGCAGCCCACTTGAAATAAACGAAATGAAATGGGGTAAAACGTCCTACTATTCTGCTCCTGACTGGTATAATGAAGACTGACATACCCAATATGGCCTACTCTTCTATCGAATTCCAATTGCCAATGGATCTTTTACGTGCACGCCAATGTGTACACGGGACCTCGGTGTTTCGTCCCATCCGAACCACTGACAAGGGATAACCGCGTTGGAAAATCCCGATGAACTTTTTCGGCCAATGCAGTTCTAGTGAGTCAGCGTCTTACCCACTTAACCACTGTGGCTCCCCACTTGTAATAAAATAATTGTTATTTTTTTTTTTTTTTTTTTTTTTTCATTATTCAAAGTCTTGCTGTGGAACGGTTGTATTAATTTCATTATGGCATGCTTGAAAATAAAGATAAGCTTTTGTGTGGTTGAGTTCTAAATAGAATGTTTTACTTACGGTAATTATTCCAATTGAGAGTATTATATATGGTGACATATAATACATGGTAAATATCGGATAAATCCACTGTGAAAACTGGACTGAAATCTCCCATCTCGGTTATAAAACATGTCGAAGTCGAAATGGTGTAGCCATCAACGGCTAAACTACTTTCATGATCTCCTTTCACAGAACTGTGATTCGTCGCCATCTGGTAGGCTAGGTTCTCGCCTGAAAAAGGGCAATTAGAAGGGCCTGCACATTTAGGAGGTCAGTCTGTATGAGTACATATTTACTAATAGTGGTGTCTAGTAAATGATAGCTAGTGGTTTAAGTGTCAAGACTATTTCATTAAGCACAAGGGAACTACGTACAAATATCTAAACAGGTTTAATTCTTCTATTATTAGTCTTGTACACGTCCTTGAGTGAAATGGATCGGGAACTGTCCAAACTGAGTCGGGTGACCAACATAAAAACCAATTAGTACAAATTATGTGGTTTTATAATATTCAAGGAGGGGTTGGGGGGGGGGGGGTGGCTGAATGGTTAGCACGTACGCGCTGTACCATAAAGTCTGTCATTGAGTCAACTGGTGTTGTTTCGATTCCCCGGTTGTACGTATCAAGGAGTAGGTCGCCTGTCCAACCTCGTGGGTTTTCTCCGGGACCTCCGGTTTCCTCCCACTGCTAAAGACCCCTACGCGCAAGCGAATTATTGAAATAAAATTGAACCATATGTTAGTCCCGAAATGACGTAGTTTGTGTTAAATCCAATTTCTCTCTATATATATTATGCAAGACAATTAAAGGAATTAGCACCACAACCCTACAAATTCAATACTGGTAAAATATATGATATACAATAAGAAAATTGAGAAAAAATAAATCCCCCACCCGCATGAAATAAAATAGAGTACTGCCTATTGATGCAGGTTGTAACACCTCCCGAGTTAGGTCGAAATTCCGTTCATAGTACGAGAATTTCGTTCATAGAACATCCATTTCGTTGTAAGAACGCTGACCCTTCTTCTAATGGCAGGACGGGGAACATTTTGAACATGCTCAAAGTTCTTAAGCACCCTGCCAGTCCAAGCCCGTTTTTAAAAACGGGTTGAACTGACTATAAACTTGGTGGTCGGGTTACAAACTTGGTAGACCTTTGTTAGACCTACTTTCAACAAATTGCGGACTTATCGGGAACGGGCTAGAATCAATCTGATTAAAACACAGATCCTATTTCGTTTCGTTTTTTATAGTTCAAAATTTCGTTTTACTTGTCTTTACTACACTAGGATCTGGAAGAGTTGTTATAGTATCGGTGTTTTGGTTGAAGTGAGGGATTAGCCAATTAAACGGTCTGTTACGGCGACTTCTTTTAGTAATTGTTTAGTAATACGTTTTAAGACCCATTAAAAGGCAGCGTCCCATTTTTGGGAAAGAGATCCAAACCATAATGTATGAATTGAATATAGTAACACATTGATCTTGGTGAATTCAGGGCAATTTCTGCTCCGATGAGTTACTTCCCTTTACCTAAACACTAGCTTCCAGAAGTCGGGCCCATGTCGCCAAATATACAAAGAATGGAATGTAAGTAATAACTATTATTGAATTTCAATTAAAAATAACAGTTTACAATAAATCGAATAGGAACCAATATGTATTGCATAATATCTTTTTCAAGTATTAAAGATACATTATGGGAGATTAGATAAAGAGCTGACACTTCTCACTATATTAGTTAAAAACTAAATAATGTAAAGGCAATTTGCTGAAAATGTCAGTCAAACTGATTCACTCTGAATTTAGCGATCGAATTTTCGACCTAGCCTCGATCATCATTACTAAATTCGGTACGATAAAATAAAAACATAGTTTCGATTATCCCTTTCATGAATAAATCATGAATGAAAGTTGAGCAGCAAATCCGATCCTAATCCAGTAAATATCGCAGTTGATTATGGTCTGTATAAGTTAATTAATGTAGGTATTAATTTTACCTGGTATGATATCTTGGCATCCTTCTCCATATTTACCTAAAGGACAGGTACAATTGTCATCTTCACAACGAATGTTCTGTGAAATAAGTAACACAATAATTGATGAACCATGTAATATGTGTACAGAAGTAAATAAGGTGTTTTAGTCTATAAGTAGTAGGACTATCGTGAGGTTAAAGTGGGGTGGGGGTGTAAGTGGGGTGTGGATTGTAAGGTTGAAGTGGGGTGGGGGTGTAAGTGGGATTGGGGATGTAAGGTTGGGGTGGGTGTGTGTGTGTGTGTGTGTAAGTGGGATGTTGGTTGAATGGTTGAAGTGGGGTGGGGTGTAAGTGGGGTGGAAATTGTAAGTGGGGTGTGGGTTGTAAGGTTGAAGTGGGTGGGTGGGGTGTAGGGTTTTAAGTGGGTTGTAAGGTTGAAGTGGGGTGGGGTTGTAAGGTAGAAGTGGGGTGGGGGTTGTAAGGTTGAAGTGGGGTGGGAAGGTTGTAAGTGGGATGGGGGTTGTAAGGTTGAAGTGGGATGGGGGTGGAGGTGGGTGGGGGTGGTAAGGTTGACGTGGGGTGGGGTGTAAGGTTGAAGTGGGTTGGGGTGGGGGTGTAAGTAAATACTGAGCCAAACTCAAACAGATTTCTTCACAATTCATTCAGTTTAATCAATCTGATTAAAACACAGATCCTATTTCGTTTCGTTTTTTATAGTTCAAAATTTCGTTTTACTTGTCTTTACTACACTAGGATCTGGAAGAGTTGTTATATTAGCGGCGTATGGTTGAAATGAGGGATTAGCCAATGAAACGGTCTGTTACGGCGACTTCATGGCGTGTCATCCACGGAACTGTGGATAAACCACTATAAAAGTCAACGCTGACTGACTAATCAATGTATGACGTCATAGGTCAAAAGCCGCACCTACTACCTCTTACAACTTGTCAGATCTTCATGTAGTGCAGGCCATCGAAAGTATAAAAAAACGAAACGAAATATAGATCTATATTTTAATCAGAATGTCATTTTAATATAAACTACTAACTTGTGTGTAACAGGAACAACCAATTGTATCATAAGACATAACACAATCTCTGCCATCTTGGTATAGTTTACAAGAGGCATCTCGAGAACAATACAGATATCGTTTACACTCAGCTCCCTCTGTACAGGCTATAGCACAATCCATTTTGTCTGACGTAGAAATCGATTCCAGAAGTTTGCTTGGGTCCCTGCTTCCAATAACAACACTAGATTTATTATATGAAGCATGGCGATTACCAAAACTTTGAGCTGGAAACGAAAACAGCAAATATTTAGGACAGTGATTTTCAACCAGTGTGCCGCGAGATCTTCCTAAGTGTGCCGCGAAATTTTGAACGGCACACTAGGAAAATATGTAAATCCACGTGTTCTCAATTAAGTAGGCCTATTCACTGGTGTCTACTGATAAGTTCATAGCTGTTCTTTTTTCTTTATATAGTTTAAGTCATTCTATGTGTTTATGACTTGTCTCTGTCTATGGTTATATTCCGTCTGACTTACCATGTTTTTATTTTGCAAAATTCAAATAGTTTTCATATATATATTTAGCCAGGAGTGCCGCTATTTTTTCATGTGTTACAGGGTGTGCCGTTAGCAAAAATATGGTTTAGAACCGCTGAATTAGGACTGTTTAGAATTTAGATGACTGTCATCGTTCATGTGATACCGCTTAAATCAGTATAGCTTCGTCTACACTAGGCTTGAAAAAGCCGGCTTTTTAAAAACCCGGTTTTTTCAAAACCCGGCTTTTTCAAGTGTAGCGTCTACACTGACTGAACGGAAAAAGACGATGAACACCGACCTTCGTTATTTGTGGAACTTCCGGTTTATTTATTACGCCATCGGCTTCAGTCAATTTTGCAGAGATAATAATATAATAATAATGATTACTTTGGTTACATTGGTGCAATTCAGCGCATATAACCCAGTAAATTTTATTGTCTTTGACAGTTCCATCAAACAAAGCTTGAATGTTCCCCCGCCCCCAAATCTCAATTAGCAATAAGCACTCCTCGTTAACCCATTTTAGGTTAGGCATGTTGAAATTAAATAGGCTAGGCTATAGATGGATTTGAGATTTACCGCAATTTCTTAGAACCGGAAGCAATGCCAATGTTATGAATGTACGGAAGCTCGGGACGAATGACATCCGGGTACTTGATAAATCCCGGATTTACCGTCTACACACATAAAATTGCCGGTTTTTTGAAAAAGCCGGCTTTTTGATTTTGAAAAATCCATCAATAATTGCCGGATTTTAAAAAGCCGGCTTTTACGATTGAGAAATTGAAAAAGCCGGCTTTTACGATTGAGAAATTGAAAAAGCCGGCTTTTAGGAAAAAACCGGGATTTAAAAGGCTAGTGTAGACGGTGAATGCTGCTAGTGTAGACGCAG